GTTCATAACGTTTACATTTTTTGGATTTTTTCTCAATCTCAGCAATGGTTCAGTTGTTTAGTGATTAGACGTTTGATGCATTTGCAACGCATCATCAATGCTCTTACGGAGAAGAATTTTTTTACAGTCATATTAGTCGCGTTCCATCAAAAACTCAACGATGAATGACGATGCGACGGCATAATCTTTCTCAAATATTATGCAGTCAAACTGAATAAACTTCACTAATAAACTTCAATAAACTTCCGTCGACGTTTACTTTAAGTGTGCTTGTGCGATGGGATCGAGAGACAGTTAATCCAGTGCTTTCAAGCAATCGAAAACTATCAAAGATAAAAAACGAATTTCTGAGTTTCTGAGTTCAAAATCAGTGCAATGATCTACGCTACGAACCTTTGTATCTATTTTTGTCCTTATTTTTATCGAACGCTACTTTACTCAACTTTACCGTTGGTACACTCGTTGCTTTGATTTCGTAAAATTCTTTGATCAGACCCTACAAAGAAGATTTACTGATGCAGTTTCTGTCACCATCTCTCAACATTTTTCAGTTTTACAAATCTTTTCCAGCAATTTCATTCCATTGTTCCATAACGATCATACATCAAAATTAATATGCCTGTGGAATTTCGTTTAGAGTTAAAGACTACTGACTCTTTACTTATGCTTCACGATGAATCTGTGGGCTAAAGTTTGCCATTTACTCTGGTTTGTGCGGAAATTTTTGTTTGTAAGCAATAAATCGATTCCATCGTTGGTTTAAAATAAAGGCTAGATCCGTAAAAAATCACAATGATGTTGACATTATCAAAGAAATTCATGGTCGAAACTTTTTTGGATTATTTTCGAACAATTCAACAAATGATCTGAACTCGATCTGCGGCAAGAAGTGATGAAACTTACGGCGACTCCCATTTCAACAGTATGAAGACAGAATTCACGCATATTTTGCGCCTTCATCGGGTGTTCAATTGTTTTTCGATTCATTCTCAGATTGTGTTTAAGCGATGGACGTTCCATTTGCGTGCCATCTTCTTCTGCTTCAAATATCAATTAAAATTAGTTTTGCAAAACAATTCCTCTCATTGTTTCTACCTTAACAAATCAGTTGAATAGTCGAGCAATACACTGGAATCANCTCGATCAATGATGAGCATTCAGTCCGTCTCGGGAATGCGACTGATCCGATGCACAAGCTGTGTAAAGCTTGATGTTAGATATGCGATTTTAGATACATGAAAATTCCCTTCCTTCCAGTTATCAGCTTCCATCATTTATGATCCAAATATTTTTTGATAATTTTACGGTGACGTCAAACCGCTCATGCGTTTATGATCGCATCAACAAAGTGCTTTTGAAAAAATGCTTGGAAAGGATGACAGCTGTGAGATAAATAGTGACAATAATATGGCGCACTGTGAATATGGACTAGGTTGTGAGTGAAGTCTAAAGATTTTGTGTCATATTCAATCCATGTTTACGCTCATATAAAACGTTAATAGTGACCGCTATTAAAACTTAACAGAGTCATTAAAAGCAAAACTCAGTTATATGCGAAGAAATAAAATCCGATTCAAACATTCGATCAAAATATTATACCAATAAAGCTTACCAGTACCAGCACTTCGAGCAGTCCGCTTCTTTATTGTTAGTCCCTTCTTTCGTCTTGTTCCAGCACGGCATTTGGCACCCAACCTTATTATTGCCGTTTTTATATCTCTGCCTGTCACTGGAATATATGGAAGTGATTATGA